AACAGGCAAAAGAATTAAAGTAGACCAGTATCTTAGACCATACACAAAAATTAACTCAAAATGGATTAAAGACTTGAATATAAGACCTGAAACCATAAAACTTCTAGAGAAAAACATAGGCAGTACACTCTTCGACATCGGTCTTAGCAACATATTTTCAAGTACCATGTCTGACTGGGCAAGAGAAACAATAGAAAAAATAAACAAATGGGACTGCATCAAACTAAAAAGCTTCTGCACAGCAAAGGGAACCATCAACAAAATGAAAAGACAACCTAACAATTGGGAGAAGATATTTGCAAACCATATATCTGATAAGGGGTTAATCTCCAAAATACATAAATAACTCATACATCTCAACAACAAAAAAACTAACAATCCAATTAAAAAATGGGCAAAAGATATGAACAGACATTTCTCCAAAGAAGATATACAGATGGCCAACAGGTACTTGAAAAGATATTCCACATCATTATCAGTGAAATGCAAATCAAAACTACAATGAGATATCACCTCACACCCATCAGAATGGCTATAATTAACAAGACAGGAAACAACACGTGTTGGAGAGGATGTGGGGAGAAGGGTACTCACATACACTGCTGGTGGGAGTGCAAACTGGTGCAGCCACTATGGAAAACAGTATGGAGATTCCTCAAAAAATTAAGAATAGAACTACCATACAATCCAGCTATTCCACCGCTGGGTATTTATCCAAAGAACATGAAAACCCGAATGCATAAAGATACATACACCTCTATGTTCATTGCAGAATTATTCACAATAGCCAAGACTTGGAAGCAACCTAGGTGCCCATCAAGGCACAAATGGATAAAGAAGCTGTGGTATATATACACAATGGAATACTACTCAGCCATAAGTAACAATGAAATTCAGCCATTTGTGACAACATGGATGGACCTTGAGGCTATTATGCTAAGTGAAATAAGTCAGATGGAAAAAGTCAAATATGAGTATGATCTCACTCATAAGTAGAAGATAAAAAGAATAACAAACAGTCACATAGAGATAGAAATTGGATTTGTGGTTACCAGAAGAGAAGGTGGAAGGGAGGGGGGTGAAAGGGATGATTAGGCACATGTCTGTGGTGATGGATTGTCATTAGTCTTTGGGTGGTGAACATGATGTAATCTATACAGAAATCGAAATATAATGATGTACACCTGAAATTTAAAAAAACAAAGAAAATTTAATGAAGAGAAATTACTTTTGTTCCGCAGCAAAAAAAAAAAATCAAGGAAGCAAAAATAAAAAGTCCAAAACAATTAAAATCAGGCACATCTATTTCCACAATAAATATGAAGGTATTAAATGCAAAAAAAAAAAAAAAAAAGGAGGAGTAAGCAGAAGATTATCCATCACCCTGCAGGGGGATATAGAGATTGAGGAAAAGTAAATTGTTAACAATTGTTATGAAGACCTTGTGACCACCTTAGACACAGTCTGTGCTCCGCCTCATCTAAGACACTCATTTGGCACTTATATTTTCCTTTTATCATTTTTTAAAAATGAATTTATAGCCTAACTTCCAAACTAGCTTATAATTTTCTGGAGGCGAATGACTGTACCTTACAACTCCACTCATATATAGCACTGAACACTGCATGTAGATAATTATCTGCACTACTCTTATGGTACTTAATTCTTTCTATCTTGAGTATGCATTCTTTATCTCACCAACTAAACTGTAATCTCCTTGAGGATAGGATATGTGATTATTTGCATTCCCCTCCCCCATACAGCCTAGCATAGTACTCTGTTCATAGAAGATACTCATTGTCTGTTGAATAATTTAAGAAATAATAAATTAATAAAGAAATTATACAACCAGTTCAATGGTAAATGCCTAGAGAAAGATAATGCCTATAAGATCTCAGAATATCTCAGAAGCTCTACTGGGACAGAGAAAACTCATTAGTAAACACCACTGTTAACCGGTTCATAAACATGTTTTCTACCAAGCAAATATCAACAAAACCTACGGCCCTAATGGTAAGAATATCTTCCAGATGAAAAATTTACTTACAGCAGAATTAGTCTTCATTTCAACTTTTGAAGATGTCATCACAAATCAAAGTCAAGAATTATTATATAGTTCTCATTATTGAACATAACTACTAAAACTTTCAGCAAGCTAAAGGAGATACCATTTAGATATCAACATCCACAACACTGAAGAAATGCTACAAGATTTTCCGGAATCATAGAATCTTTGTGTTAAGAAGGGACTTAAGAGTCATCTAGTCCAATTTCCTACCTAATAAAGGAATCCTTTCTACAATATATAATTCTTAGGATGTTCACACCTTTGCTTGCAGTCTTTCAGTGACAGTAGGCTTACCATCTTGCAACAAAGCTATTCCATTATTGGATTACTATCACTGATAAAAGGTTTCTTTACACTGAGCCCAAACCTGTCTTCCTATAATTTCTACCCATTGGTCTTAGTTCTATCCTGTGGAGTTTAATTCTTGTTTGATATGATAGTCCTCAAAATATTCCTACTGTCTTCTTTTTTTCCAGGCAGACATCCCTATATCCTCCAAATATTTTTCACATGATACATTTTCCCACTATTCCAATGATTTTAAACTGTGATGCCTAGACTGATCACAATACTCAAGATATGAACTAACTACTGTAGAATGCCTACCAAGATCTTGGAACTATATATCTATTAGTATAGCCTAAGATTGTGCTAACTTTTTTTGCAGCTACATCACATTGCTGATTTAAGCTTGAGCTTGGAGACAATTAAAACACATAAGTTTTTTTCACATGAACTACTATAAAGCCAAAGTACCTCTGTCACAATGTAATATATAGACAGCTGATCTCTTAAATATCGGATTCTTATAGCCTCAGAGAAGTTAAGTGACAGCTCAAGGTCACAGAGCAAGTTGGTAGAAGAGTTAGGATGTAAGACTAAGACATGTGGCACTTCATACCAGTTTTTAGTAGTTGCATTAAAGTAACCCACAAAGGATATTAACATTAAAAGGCAACACAAAATTACCAAAAGGGGGTTCTCTCTTTTATATAGTCAACCTAATTTGTAGGGTAGGGAGCGTTAGACTGAAAGTCAGAAAATCTTGGTTCTGGTCTTAGATCTTCAGCTAACTCACATCCTCTCTCTGAACCTCAGTTTCATCATTTAAAAAATAAGAAGGAATTAAATAAAACCTAAATAAATAGGAAGACACCCCATATTCATGGATCAGAACACTTAATATTATTAAGTAGCAACAGTCCTCAAATTGATCTACTGATTCAACACTATCCCTATCAAAATCCCAGGTGGCTTCTTTGCATAAATCGACAAGCTTATCCTAAAATTCATATGAAAATGCAAGAGAATATCCAAAATAATCTTGAAAAATAACAAAGTTGGAGGACTTATGCTTTCTGATTTCAAAACTTACTACTTACTACATAGCTAGTGTAATCAAGACAGTGTGGTATTGGCATAAGGACAAACATATAGATCAATGGAATAGAATCAAGAGTCCAGAGTACACCCTCACATTTATGATCAACTGATTTTTGACAAGGGTGCCAAGACCATTCAATGGAGAAAGAATAGTCTTTTCAACAAATGATGCTGGGACAACTAGATAGCCACATGCAAAAGAACAAAGCTGGACCCCTACCTCACGCCATAGCCAAAAATTAACTTGAAATGGATCATAAACCTAAATGTAAGAGTTAAAACTATAAACTTCTTAGATATGGAGAAATTAGAGCCCTCATACACTACTCGTGGGAATGTAAAATGGTGCAGCCACTGTGGATAACAGTCGGGCAGTTTCACAAAAGGCTAAACATAGAGGTACCGTGATATTCAGCAATTCTACTCCTAGGTATATATCCAAGAGAAATAAAAACATGTACACAAAAAAATCTGCACATGAATGTTCACAGTAGAATTATTCATAATAGCCCAAAGTTGGAAACAACTCAAATGTTCATCAGTGGATGAATGGATAAACCAAATGTGGTATAACCGTACAGTGGAACATTATTTGTGAAAAGATGAAGTATTAATACATGCTACAACACAGATGAACCTTGAAAACATGCTAAGTGGAGAACCTAATCACAAAAGACCACTTCTTGTATGATTTCATTTATATGAAATATCCAGAATAGGTAAATCTATAGAGACAGAAGGTAGATTAGTGGTTGCTAGGGCTGGGGTCAGGAGGAATGGAGAGTGACTGCTAATGAGTAGGGGATTTCTTTTGGGGGTGATGAAAATGTTTTAAACTTAGATTGTAATGAAGGTGCACAATTCTGTGAATATACTAAAACCATTGAATTGTACATTTTAAATGTGTGAATTTTATAGTATATGAATCATATCTCAATAAAGATGTTAAAAAATAAAAATAAGAGGATTATACTACATGATTTTTAAAGTCTCTTTCATTTCTAAAATTATATAATTACAGAGAACAAACTCATCACAGCTTACAATTTGTCAACTGAAAATGCACATCTAACTGCATGGTGACAAAAGGAGGAAACTCACAAGCCAAACAGAGATAAAGTACAACTTTGAACACTGATAGCAGCAGACTTTTAGAAAACATCAGCAAACAACTCAGAACAATCACAAATGAGAACTCAAGCTCTTTTCAGGCAAATATTTTAGGCAGACTATGAATGTAAGAGTCACAGAGACATGTGTTTCAAGTAGAGGCTACTGCCATAAATAAATGACAGACATTACAGGTAGTGGTTAAAAATTATGTTTAGTTATATATCAGTCTTTCCAACCTCATCCACTCCCACACAGATACCAATCACCATTAGTGATGTTACCTTCATACATAAAACAGAGATAAAAATGGTCAAATATAATACCCTATGAAAGACAAATGACACCTGACTTTCTTCTAATAGGTTACATCTCATCACTTTTTCATTTGCATATACAAAGTACCCCACTGTGAGGCCCTGGTGACTACGATACCTACTGACTCTGCTTGGTAAGAAAGCACTTTGAAAAGGTTCCTCTCCACAGCAATCTTCTGCATAGTCATGTGGTCCTCAGTGGAGCTCCTTTGCATTAATTTGACATATAATTGCTCCAGACCCTGGAAAATAAAACCAGAATACAATGTAATGATGAGAATAACCACAACTGTTACTAATAATTGCCATGGCTAAAAATCAATGGTAACTTACAGCAATGGCAACTTGAAAAAATTCATCAGCGGTCACAGCATTTCCAACACAAAGCCACCCTTTTCCTGTTTTCATATTCATCTGGAAGAGAGAAGTTAGAAAATAGTTTTTAAAAATTCATACCTCCTCCAAACTGGTTGAGGAGAGTATTGGAGAAAACATTTAAGCTTCTGTCCATATTCAGTAGTGTAATCCACAGAAAACAAAAAAGTAACACCATTTATTAGAGTTCTGTGTTCTGCTCTGAACTCCATACTTTAAGAAAAATGGTCTTAAGAAAAGCAATAATAAAAAATTAATAGACTTGAAAACACATCTTCTAAGGAAATATTAAAAGAAAACATTGGGATAATTTAGATAGGAAGAGAAAGGTCTGAAAAATGAATGCTTCACATACTTGAACAAAGTTATATGATAAGCCTTAGACTATAAGTCAACACACCCTGGGTTCTAGTTTTTAATTACATCTCTAATAAAATTTTTATTTACCCAATAAATGTTTATTAATTATCCTTTACATGCCAGGCACCCTGAAGAAGCTCACAGTATTCTAATTAACAGACATCTAAATAAATAGTTGGTATGTAATATGCACAAATGCTGTGGAAGCAAACAAGGACTGAATCAAGATGGACGATTGAGCACACACTACAGCCACCCCTTCTACTATAAATTCCTAGAAATGATGTGTGTGTGTGTGTATATATATATATATATATATATGTATATACTATAAATATAGTATACATAAATTTTACTATAAATTTTATATACTAGAAATCCCTAGAATATTCTCTAGAAATAAGAGAAAATATATACATATTTTTCTTATTCAGTACGAGTCCTGGAAAACAAGGGACATTTTCAGTTGACCTGAAATTATGAGGAACCTCTGAAAAATAGACAGCAAATGGGATGAGGCAAAAACCCACATCCCAAAATGCACAAAAATGCAAAACGTGGAAACATTCTGGATGTGAACAGCAGGAGTATCAGGCAGTTGGCTACCCCCTAAGAGGGAACTCCCAGGAGTTCCCCCTGGACTCCTGTCCCAGGAAGGAATAGTGAGTACAATCACTTAAGCTGGATAAAAATAGGGTTCCAATTGGCCGACAACACAGGTCAATGCAAAACATCCAGTCTTACCACTCCATCAGTCACTGGATTCAGCTTATTTACTGTAACCTAGTATATAGTTTGACACAGTATTCACAGAAGACTATCAAGAAATCTCAAATCACATACGAGTAAGAATCACCAAACAATTGAGGGAAACCAATACCATGAAAGGACAGGACATCACACTCAACAAATAGAAGAATACCTAAGGAAATAGAATTAAGAGAGCTAGCAGATGGAAACATAAAGAGAAATACCATTGTTATCCCCAGAATTAAATAGTAGTCACAAGCAATAAAATGCTCCTTTTAGTTTTCATTCTTTGGAATCAACAGAGGCAAAAATGCAAATGTTATTAGAGGTGACAGAAGTTGGAAGGTTAAAGGTAAGGAAAGGTAGAGAGAATAGTAAAGGTACCAATATCCTCACAGAGTGAAAAGTAAAGATATATGCTCCAGGGGCCGGCCCCGTGGCTTGGCAGTTAAGTGTGCGCGCTCCGCTGCTGGCAGCCCGGGTTCGGATCCCGGGTGTGCACCGACCACTGCTTCTCTGGCCATGCTGAGGCTGCGTCCCGCATACAGCAACTAGAAGGATGTGCAGCTATGACATACAACTATCTACTGGGGCTTTGGGGG